GGTAAATTACAACCCTTTATTTTTTTTTTTATTCGGAATTTCTCAGCTAATACATAGCTGTTTGTTCAAAGCGGTGAAGGTAACTACTTAGTAGGTGATTCCAGCATACAGGTAAGAGTCAGACTGACAGGAGTACTAAAAGAGACTCCACACTTGTGCTTTTTATTACTCAGTCCTTTGGTTTTTATTGTTGTGGTTTTGGGTTTTTTTTTGGGGGGGGGGAGCAGTGGTTTTGGTTTTTCAACAAAAGGTTTCTCTGTGTATCCTTGGGTATCCTGGAACTTACTCTGTAGACCAGGCCGGCCTCTAAGTTACAGAGAGATGTGTGCCTCTGCCTTCTGAGAGCTGCACACACTGTAAAAGTGTGTGCCTCCACTGCCATCCAGCTTCAGCTTGCCTACCTATAGTTTTTCTTTGGAAAATTACTCTCAACCAATGCATCTAAGTATGAATGTGTTCCAGTAAAAAATCATAAACTTATTTAAAATGTTGAGGTTTTTTGGTGGTTTTATTTTATTTGTAACTCAAATGTGATGCCCTTGGGCATCTACTTTACAGATGGCAACATTGGGTGGCACTGTCCAAAAGTTGGACAAGTCTGCTAGGATCACCCTTTCTTTTCAGTAACAATCTCAATATCCTAAGATAGCATGCTGTACCTGTTGCTCAGACTGTAATGTGCAAAGTCTCTTCTTGAATATATCTTACACTAGACCCAAAGGTTATAAGTATTTTAAACCTTTAAAACTGTGTGGCAATTTATAATACATACACAGACACACAGAGACACACACAGACACAGACACAGACACACAGACACACAGACACACAGACACACAGACACACACACACACACACACACACACACACACACACTAAAAGGACCATGAAAACTCTGTGCTGGGATAAAAATCAAACACTGCATTTTCCAGTTCTAAATCACACACTAACGGCTTTCACTTCAGGCAAGAGCATAAAACCAAAGCACATTTTGGTTCACTCTATAACAAATCTTTTCAAACAAATTCCTTTGGCTCTAGCAAGATTTACGTACAAAAGCTAAAGGCTTCTGTCCCCCAGCCTTAAATAGAGGCGTTTGGAACACAGTTACATGGTTTGTTCCAGCTGTTTTAAGCTAAGATCCCATGAGCTTGCCTCCTGGAGGCGTTTTAGACTTTACATATTTAAAACTAATAGAATGGGTCAGTCAGAGGACACACTGGAGGTCTGCATCTGATCAGAGCTGGAGGCAGAGGAGCATATGGCAGAATCACAAACATGCTAGCAATACAAAAAAGACTCATTTGAAAAATTCCTGCTATACCAACTCCTGACGACCTTTGGGACAGTGTACATGTAGCTGTGCTATCTAAAGGCTGGCAACATCCACCATCACTTCACTGGGTTTAGGGAACCAGATACTAGCACCCTCTTGTATGCTTCCTACCCACTTGCTACTGATGGATACTTTGGAAAGGAACATATGCTTGAAGCTCACCATCCAATGTGACTAGGAATTTGTTTGATATGTTAGTTTCATCCTTTTAACAGCATCGGCAACCACCTCCAGAGTTTTTTGACTTTTTATGTGCTCCGATCACTGCTTCCTCAATACTTAATAAATCTGCCTGACTTACACAGTTATCCAAGAACCGAGATAATCACAGTTTTATAGAAATTGTCAACTTGCTGATACACATTCTGACTTCCAGTTTGGGTAATGAAATTACAGCTATGTCACAAATAAATACAAATATACAAACATCTATATGTGGGGAAATGTTTACTCAATGACCCAGAGATGATGTCAACTCAAATACTCCTTATTCCTTTTGGCAAAAGCTAAGATCAGCGTGTGTATGTCTGTATCTACTCAACTTCCCTACATTCGACACAGAAGCATTTCTTACTACCATTATTATACTAAGGCATGAATTCCTCAGTTGTCATCCGAAAACCGTTTCTCACTTGCCCCAAGAAATTAACTAAGCTGCCTAAAATGAATTACAGCCTAAGGACATGTTGTCAATTGCATCATCATGAAAAAAATAAATGAATGAATAATCTGTATGCTTTAGATGTGCTGCTAGGGGAGCACCACACACTGACGTTAGCTTCTCAAGCACTGCTGCCACTCACAGCAGGCAAATTGCAGGAAAAGAAACACAGAGACTATCCCTGTTCTGTAAACAGTGGCAATTGAGAAGTGAATTTTCAAATATTATGTATCAGTTAAAAGTCTCCCATCCTGACGGGCAAGCATAACAAAGTTAGCTGAATAAAATCAGTCCAGATTTCAGGGAGCCACGGGCATCTACCTCCTACAGACACAAGAAAGAGCCATCACTCCTTTTCAGCTTGAGTTAGATGAGAGAAAACACAGTTCGTATTTCCAGAAACAGGAGTGGCATGGTTTCCAGTGAGCTTCTTCTTCTCATTTTACTATTTTAAGAGTGCTGGTCACTCCCAGTGTTTCTCTAAGATGGGATCTGGTTCCCAGTGGCTGATGGTTCTCGTGGTGGGATGCTTTCCTTACAACAGTCTCCAAAACTGTTTTTATTCGTATTTAGCTCCACTGTATTTATCTACAAAATACCATTTCAATGGAGTCAGGCCAATAAAAGAAACAGCTTACTAGAATTTCAGTTGACTTTGTTAAAGGAAATTATTTTAAATTAACGTGGCTTCTGGCCTGCTGCCGTTTCTGACCTCAGAACACATACTCCTTCTCGTTTCTGCTGTGAACATTTGTTTATTTAAGTGAAATTCCAGCTCGAGAATGTCGACCATAACGGAGTCTCAACCTTCCTGCCACTATTTCGTCCTTTGTCTAAACAAGGGCAGCCGAATACTGCCACATAGGCACGCGTAGCCACATCGCTGCCCTTCAGTGAAGTCATGTATGTATTTTTGGTAAGATCTTTAACAACTTCCACACCCGGCCATGAAACAGAACAGGGCAGTTTTGTTTTCAGACAGTAACAATTTCATCTCTGGTTTACTAGATGGCACTCAAAATATTTTTCCATCTGCTTTTTGCAAAGAGAATCTGACATCAGTGTGGTTTACCTTGACCAGTGAATGCAGGCTCTTTTCACCAAACATGTCCCAGAGGAAGGTCAGGTCCTCCTGGCTATCCACATGTGGCTGCAGCTGGGCAGGCAGAGCAGCCAACAGCTCATACAGACCTATAAAGTGAAAATAAAACACAAAGAGTAATCTTAGGATGATCCCATTAATTTCACTGAAGGTGTACGTGTAAGTGACGGCTGGAACATGTCAATTTTACTGGATTTATATTCTGGGCCATCAAGCAAAACAATGCTCTCGAAAAGCAAAGGAAGTGTTTTGATTTTTAAATTTCAAGGAAGTATATATTAAGAGAATAGTTTTTGTTGTTTTTTTTTTTTTTACCTTTCATACTTGTCAACATTATGCAAGTTTACATAAAGAAAATGTATACCGTTCTTCAAAATTAAAAAAGAAAGAAGAAAGGCATGCCTTCCTTTCCTTGACTGTTACTACATTCCACTCTTGTTAGCCAAGGAGTGGGATGAGTCACACGGAGGAAAACCTCCTTAGGAGAGTATAGCATCATGGGCTACAAAAAGGCTTTGTAGTTTGCAAGGAAGTTCTAATAACATAAAGCTTCAAAAACATTTGCATTGTCTAAGATGCAAATGAAGATCTGTCAAGTGGGCCAAAACAGACCTCACACAGAGATTCGAGCGAGCGCTGTTCACCACTGTGGACTATGGCTTTTTGTAGGGACTGTGCAGAGCATTGCTTATGTCTGTGGGGTATAAAGTTTACTGGCTTCTCCTCTGGTAGCAGATGCAGACTGCTGTGGCACACCTCGAATGAGATGCTGGAGGGAGACAAATGCTAGAGACAGAGCCACAGAAACCATCCATCTCAGTCACAGGCGGCCAGCCTCTAGTCCAAAGACTGCCCCAGCAGGGCTTGTCCATGACTCCTGAGGGAGGTGACCTGGCAGAAGTCAGTATCAGTTCCCAGCACTTGGTGCATTTTCCAGAGGGATCACATGAGGTAAAAAGGACAAAATTCCTTTTATTTCTGTCTACTGTCTACAAAAACACCAAGACCTCCTGAGGCAGGGAGCACACGTAAAGGCTGCCTTTCATCAAGGAGAAAGCATTACATGATGCATAACAAGCAAAGAAGAGTAAATTCTGGGCGCTTGATTAGCATATCTATTATCTTTCTAACATGTCAGTCCTAATTCATAGGCAAATGCATGAGGTACCATCCTACAGGCAGATATGTAACTGTGAATATCTGATTAAATCCAAATGGCTGTATTTAGCCCCCCACACCAAAAAAAAAGAGTCATAAGAATAATCCTAAATTAGACTGTGAAAAACTCCAATCATATTACTAAGTATTCTTGATATTTTTCATTAATTCTCTTTAAAAAAAAAAAACTAGCACTCTGCGTAAACCAGCTCTCCTTTACAATTAAATAAAGACCTGGACGTATCTCAGCATGAGTGTACTTACAATGCAGCACTCACTCACCCTCTGTCCCGTCCTAGCTCCCACAGAGATACATCCCCCAAACCCAATAATTGCCCAGGGTCAACGGTTATGTCAGAGAGTTAAAATGTAAAATTAGGAAAAAACAGGGTAGATTTTTTTTTTCTATTGATTTCAGAAATTGTAAAAGAAAACTTGCCTACTCCTTGGTAGACTGAGTTCAGGCTTAATTAAGGATAGTAAACCAACTCTGTTGTAAATTACATGCTGTAATTGCTAGAAAAGCTACATCAGTCAATATACAAGAAGGCCTGGCATGTGGTAAGAGCACAACACAGTCCATATGCAACTCCGTGAGATCTAGCTACTGATTACTGAATCAGAATTACTGAAAAACCAAGAGAGATCAATATTTGATCCCTATGTCTACATTTAAACTACTTTTTATGATTTAGCTGAGCCCTCTCTCATTTGTATTGAAAAGCAAATGGTAATTTGTGCACATAAAGCTAAACACTTACAAACACATAGAAGTGAGTAAGTGTCCTGGAGTGCAGGGCACTGCTTCAAGCTGCTACAGCAGAATGCTACTGATCAACAGTTTATAAACAATGCAAGAGCACTTGTCAGTTGTAGGGGAGGTACCTCATACAGGCATCTGTACTGTCATCCCATGGTGAAACATAGGACAGAGAGGGAGAGAGAGGGGAGGGGGGGGGAGAAGGAGAGGTGACAGAACATCGTTTGTAACAAGCTTATTCCTACACTAGCAGCACTAACTCGTTCATGAGGGATGAACCCTACTGGACTGACCTTCTATGAAAGGCCTCATGTCCCTCATACTGTTACCCCTAGAACTAAGCTCCTGGCACACGAACTTCGGGGAACACATTCAAGTCATAGCAGATTGTATCAATTACAGTTTCCTGGCTGCCACATTCTGCTGTGGTTGGTATAAGACATTAAACTGTAAGGAAATGGGTGACATACAAGTCTATATCATTTCTTACAATAACACGCAAATCTATAGTAATCTCAAAATAAAAAATAGTGATGCAAAAATATTAAGGTCAAATGGTTGTCTTAAAATGTCAGTGGACTCCTGGGGCTCTAAGCCCAATATGCTTGGTATAAAATAGCATTCTTCCCTTGATTCATCTTCCTCTAGAACAAAACACCACTGTATTCCAAGGTTCAGAGTCAAAACAGCCTCATCAGACATTCCAAGTGACATAGCAGCGCACTCCTTGACACATGGAAAGTGTTAACTCTACACACGTATTGCTTATAGTTTGTGAAACAAGCCATTTTATACTTCAACCATTAAAAAATAATTTTCCTGCTAGCAAAGGCTCCTAAATCTGAGTTTTCTGGCTTTTCTAGCATGACACAATCCTTACTGATACGTTGCCACCACAGTATGCCACTCCAGTGACACCCGCAGCCCCCACCCTCCCCTTCAGCTGCCTGATCTGGAAGCCACAACCAATGCTAGAAGAGACAGGATAGTGTCAATCACTAATAAAAGCATGGTGACAGAGTCACGAGGCCAGAGGCATGCAGTCTCAAAGAAGGCAGTACAGGCTCCAGAAATCACCAGTCCATGAAGAGAGTGGAGTCTCCGATCTGATATGAGCTTGAATGTATACCTATATCTGAGTTCCAACAGTGAAGAATGTTCTCCAAGTTCAACTGAATGTTTTCAGAACTAGATATTTAGATTGAGGGTACATCTTTCATTTTTTTCTTAACCTACTCTTGGTCTCTGAGCATAAAGGGAAGGAGTCAGTTCCTGCCAAGGAAGAAATCAGGACAGAAGTAATGCATAATTTAGGTGTTTTTGATTTGAGCCCCTCCTCCTCTCAAGAGCACTGGTTGGAACTCGCCAATGTAGTATGTTGAGAGGTAAAAATTAGGGGTGACTGGGCCATGAAGATGGTGCCTGAAGGAATTAATATTACCATCTAAATCCGCTTCTTACATGTTAGGTGCAAATTCATTATAAAAAGCAACTTCAGCCTCCTCTTTACTCTCTTCTCTGCCCCTCCTTCTCTTCCTTTCTGCCACCTATCGACACAGGATGGCCCATCCCATGCTGTCCGACACTTCCCCAGTGGTGCTCAAATAGCTGTTTAGAACCATGAGATAATAAATTTCTTTTCCTTTTGAATTAGTCAGTCCCCAGGGCAAGTGTGAAATCACAGTATCAGATGTTTACCTCACTGCACTGTTTTCTACGTCTTCTGTTATGCCTTGGGTGATAATTAAATAAAAGGAAGGTTACAAATACAAGCACCATGATCTTATGGCCATGAATCCTGAAACTAAGGCCAAGTTAGTGACTAAGGGGCAGGTGGCACACACAGTGTGGATACACTGCACAGAGGGGTAACTCACACTCCAGGTGGGATGACTAAGGGGCAGGTGGTACACACAGTGTGGATACACTGCAGAGGGGTAACTCACACTCCAGGTGGGATGACTAAGGGGCAGGTGGCACACACAGTGTGGATACACTGCAGAGGAGTAACTCACACTCCAGGTGGGATGACTAAGGGGCAGGCAGTACACACAGTGTGGATACACTGCACAGAGGGGTAACTCACACTCCAGGTGGGATGCTGCAAAATTTCATCACCCTGCTGAAGAAGGTGAATTGTTTATTTCTGGAATTTTCCATTTAATATTCTCAGAGCACAGTTGATGGCAGATAATGGAAACTACAGAAAGCAAAGTCTCTGGAAACTACTATATTCTCTTTGGCAGCACAAAATGGGCTAAGTCTTTTTAAAGTAAATTCCTAAGAACCTACGTCTACTGAAGTCTTACGTCCATATCACCATGCGAGCTAGCAAAATCGAGAAAAGCTCTTTCTCTGCCTCCAGCATTCTTATGATTGCTGGTGATATACGAGAGGTTGAGAAGACAGACAGGTAAATATGACAAATGTAAAACAACCATAAATGTAAGCATCTCCTATTTTCCCAAGACAATATGGATCCAAAATATGTTTTCTAAGTACACAATGAAACTGGAAATAGTATATATAATTTGTAATTGTGGGTAGGAAGTTAAACCTCAAATTCCCTTTTTACCATACAGATAAAACACCATGCTTCTGTATGACATCTGACCTATAACTTAGAAACTCAAACTTTAAGTTGTGTAATGTCTGAAGGAGTTCACATCGTCATCTAATTAGCTCCTTACATAGCAGGTGCAAATTCAGTATAAAATAAGACCTACTGACGTGGAGACACTAAAGCCTTCACGATGCCGTCCTCACTGTTAGAGCCACTTCTAGAATTAAATCATATCATTTTTACCTCTGGAAAAACTGTGTAAGATCTGACCTGTTCTCATTGCCTGTGTGGTACTACCACTGTAAACTGATTTCTGCCAATTGGAGTTTTGTTTCTCACTTGGGTGCACATTTTATTATCTCTATAATGGAACCATTTAGCTAACTTTTATGTATTGAATGTTTGCAAACATGATATGCTCCTACAAGAACTGAGAAACTAGAAATACCCTACAGCAACATAGGACTGTGCTGGCACAGCAGACAACGGACACTGCCCAGGTGTGCAGGCACACAAGGCCCAGGAAGCCAACCAGGCGTGTCTATGAGGCTCATTAGTAATCTCTTTGTGGTTGTGGTACTGAAGCTCCAAGTGGAGAGTGGAGACTC